GGAGGAGGAGGTGCGGAGAGGCGGGCTGGCCTGGTCCGAACCCTGGGGACCCAGCACGACACCCATCACGCGCGTCTACAGAACAGTCACATCCGACCCACCCTCTCTCCCTGCTCTGTAGCTGGCTAAGGGTAACCGTGCCCATCCTCCTCTGGGTCTGGCAGCTGCGGTTTGAAGGGAAGCCCCGGGGTCTGGAGTGGGGGGTTGGGGCTGTACCTGCGGCGGCCATTTTGCAGGTGTGGTTAGCCATCCGCCTGAGCTGAGGCTGTGGAATAGGGCTAGGCAGGTGTGAAGCAGGTGTGGCGTCTGCAGTGGGGTGCCGTGTCTGCAGTGGGGTGAGGGATGCTACCAGGGCCAGGGCCACATCTTAGGTCTGCACTTCGTTGAGGTCAATATCTAGGGACCTTCTGGGGCTGATGGTGGCAGGGAGGCCACTGGCTAAGGGCCCCAGACGGGGTGGAGGGGACAGTCTCTCCCTGGGTGTGAAGTCTGGTGAGGGTACTGGGTCTGAGGTAGGAAAGGGACTAGTAACTCCATCCCTGGCTATGCCAGGACCTGAGGACTGCAGAGTGTTGTCTGTGGGGTGTGGTCCACAGGGCAGAGAGAGGCTAGGGTCAGGTAGGATCAGAGTCCCCCAACCCCAAGGCTCCCAGGGAGGCCCCTGTGATGAAGGCCTGCCAGATGCCTTCTGTACGTCCCCCTCACTGGGTGCTTCCCCTACTGGGTGTGCCCCTTCTGCCTCCTGCTGGAGTGGCCCACAGGCTGCCTGTCCTGGGGCCTCCCTCTGGGCCAGCCACAGCCAGGTGGAGGCTGCGGCTCGGTTGAAAGCCCAGAGCTGGTGCACAGCGGAGCCGGGATTCACACCTAGACTCACTGGGCAGAGGGGGCCCAGCCACCCAGCCTTGTTCCCTCTCAGTCCTCCCTGGTGTCACCGCTGCTGACCCAGGGCTGGCCGTGGTCTTCGGAAGCAGGGCAGGGAAGTCCTCTCATGCGCTCTGTGGAGGGTGGTAGGATGGGGCTGGGGGAGGGACAGGGAGTGGGGAGACATGGTGGGAGATGGAGATGGGCCTGGAGGGGGTGGGGGAGTCTCCGAGGGCCCACTCAGCTCCTGCGGCTGGCCGAGGTGGGTGAGCTGGGGGCGGCCGGGGAGGGTGCTCTGACGGGGTCCTGCTACCACTGGATTGGGTGCCGTGGAGGGGTCACCCGCACTGGGTGCCCCATCCTGGCCTTTAGGATTGACTGACCAGGGCATGGGCTCAGGCCTGTGAAGCCCTTCAGGCCTGAGACCTCGTACTTCTGCGAGGTGGAGGGGCCTGAGCTGCCTCGCCCAGGAGAGTGGCCAGGAGTCACTCAGCAGCTCATGACCCCAGATGAGCACATGGCTGCCCTCCTACCCAGTCCCTAGTGTCCCTAGGGCACCCCCCATCTAGTGTCCTCAGGCCCAAAGGGCCGGGCTCACCCCCCCACCCAGGTGGCTGCAGGGGACTTGGTGTCTCCCTCCCCGCTCCATACCCTGGTGCCCCGCTGAGAGCCCTGTTGGGGCTGGACCATGCATGCTGGACCTCCTGGCTTGGCTGGGGTGCCTGCTCAGTCCTCTGTTCTGTCCCATTAGTTCATGAGCTCTTCCTGCCCGGCCTCAGCCGGCACAGGCACAGCCCAGGGGAGGGGTCGGGGCAGGGACAGGGGGCAGGGGCCGGGGAGCGTGCTTCATTACCCCGCCTGTTCTAGCAGGTTTGCTGTTTCACTCTTGAGCATTGCCAGTATCCTGGCCTTGGGCTGATGGGTGCTGGCTGACCCCAGGCTCCCCCAGCACCCCCAGCCTCAGGGACCCAATGAAGGGCTCATTGTGTTGGGGACGTTGGAAGGACGGAGAGTACAGTCAAGGTCAGCAGTCAGCTGAAGCTGAGCCTCTGGGTTCCCCCCCAGCCCATCCTGCAGGCTTTGGTTCCCCCACCCACAGCACCCCAAGCCAGCTCCCTCACTTGGGGGAGACCACACCCCTTGCAGCCTCCTAGGTGCCATCCCCGCATTGAGCCCGACCTTCTGCCTGCTGGCTGGGCTGCTGGCTGGGCTGCGGCTTCTGAGCAGGAGGGCCTACTGCCTCTCTGAAGCCTCCTCTGGATTTAATCTCCTAATCCTGGTCCTGCGTCTGGGCTGGCCGAGCCCTGGCTCCCCTGCCCCCACCTCGCCCTCCATTCTGAAGCTCGTGGGCAGGGAAGTGGCCCCGTGCTCCTCCCTCTACCCAGTTTTGGGGCCCCCTGCGGCCTGGGGAGGACCCCTAGCCCAGGCCTCCTGTTCTCACACCTCACCCTTCCCCAGTTCGCCCTTGGGCTGACGGGAGCCACTGCCCCGATGCACACTCACACGCTCTTTGACACGCTTAGGCATGCACTTACACTCACGTGTGCAGCTCCCACCTGCTGTGCCCCTGCCAGCCCTCCTCCCTCAGCGCCCCACACCGAGGTTCCGGCTCCCACCTTGGAGCCCTCCGTAAGCACCCCGGCGTCACCCACTGTGGCTTGCGGGTCAGGGAGGAAGGAAGGAACACTGATCAGGCACAGACTGTGTCGTGCACCTCAGTGCGCCCCTCTCCTGATGCTCCTAAGACCCCAACAGGCAGGGTCTTGTCCCCGTTTCTCAGGTTCGGAGGCTGAGGCTCCTGAGAAGGCACGTGACGTGTCAGAGAGGACCTGAGATTCTGCCCCCACTGCCTCTGACTCCACAGACCTTTTAGTGCGTTCTGCCCCTACCCGTCCGCACAGCACCCCGTGCCGGCACAGTGCCTTGTACACGGTGGGCACTCGGCAGGTGCTGGTTCCTTGTTGAGCCAGTTGCTCTGGCCCAAGGAGTCCACTTCCTGTGGGCCCAGGGCAAGCAGCTGCCACTCTGTCGGGGCTGGGGTTGCCAGGTGGGCCTCAGTGTCTCTCCTCATCTGTCTCACCAGAGGCCAGGAGGCTGGGCGTCGGGGCTAGTGTTCATCGAGGCCCAGGTCCTGTGGGTCAGTGGGGATCATGCTTCTAGGGGGCTGTCGTGGGGCTGGGGCAGTGTCATCTGGTCCTCACTCTCTACCTGCTTCTGGGGCCCCGGTGCCTGGGAGGGCGGCAGCTCCGAGAAGAGCAGTGATGTGGTGGGCCAGGCCCGGATCGGAGGAGGAGTCCCTCTGGTCTTACTGCGAGCCCAGGCAGGTGTTTTATTTCCCCTAGAGCTCAGCTGTCTCCTTCTTATACTGAATTCATTTTTTTCGTCCTCACTTTCCCCAGCTCTCACTCACTGTCTCCTGCTGAGTCCCCTCTTCCCTGGCACCCTCACCCCTGGAAGCCACCTCCTCCCGTCTGTCACCTGCTGCTCACTGCATCCCCTGGGGTTGGAGTCTCTATTCGTTGGGCCCCAGAGCTGCTGCTTTCTTGGTTTCCTGTCTTGTTTTGCTGGAGCACATCCTTGTGTGACTTCTATGAACGGTGTCCAGTCCTTGCTCGTCCTCATGCCGGGTAGATGCTTTGTCTGGGGCACTTCCTGGCGGTAAATCACGCTGAAGGCATTGGCACCATCATCTTCCGCATACAGTCGCCTGTGAGAAGTCTTTGTCAGCAACTTGTCTTTCCTCTCTGGAATCTCTGAGGATCCTTTCTTCATCTGTGGGGTCCTGACCATCCATGTGGATGGGTTAGGTGTGGGTTTACGCACTTATTGGTGCTCAGTGGGGCCTTTCAACTGAAGACAGTCTCTTTCATCTGTTCACAAGTTTCTCCCCTTTCTTTTCTTCTGTCTGCTTCTTTGAGTTCATGCATTGGTCTTTGGTGTTCCTGTCTCCCCTCTCATTCTGTCTCCTTGTTTGTGTTCTACCTTCTTAACACTTTTTGGACTTCATTTTTTAGTTCATTTTGGGTATTTTGTATGTAAATTTCAGCATTTACATTTTTTTCCTTTTGGTCTCAGAGCCGTCTTCCTTGTCTCTAAGTGTTCCCATTTCATAGCATCCTGTTCTTGTTTCAAAAATGTAGTGTCTTCTTGAAGCATTCTGAGCAAGTCTACAGAGGTTTTTTTGTTCATAGCTTGTTTTTGCTTGTGGTTTACCTGTTTTTCACGGTGCTTGTTTTCTGCTGGCTTATTTAGGTCTTTCACTTTGAAGCCTCTTACTATCCAGGAGTCACCTACGCGGAAGGCCTTGGTCCATTCACGTTAGGGAGGTCTGCTGAGGAGGGGAGTGCACTGCTTCGGGGTTCCCCATATCTGGGCAGGATTCCTACCAGAGCTGAGTGTGAGGGGGGCAGAGCCGGGGGTGGCCGTGTCTGTTGGCAGGTTTGCTTTAGGCAAAGGGGTGGGGGCTGGGTGCCAATCTGCGTCTAACCCCAGAATATGGGGCCTGGCTTCCAAACTGAGGACCTCATCCTTGCGGGGTGATTTCTTCCTTACCTGTGGAGAAGAATGTTCTGCTGTCTGCCTGAGGTACTGGCAGCCACTGCCCACTGTGAAGAAGGGAAGGGGGAGGGGGAGGGCTCCCCCATCCATGTGGTGGTTCTCCAGGCAGACTCACACCTGAGGCCCCTCTTCAGCCTCACTCCCCACTGCCCACCCCCGCTGGATCCATGAGTCCTCCCCCTTGGCACCCCAGGGCTCCCGCTGATCTGCCAGCCCCTCTGGGCCATTCCTGGCCCCCTTCTGTCCTCCAGAAAGGTTATTAGGGGCCTGAGGTCGGGGTGACGCCTATTCCACACCCTTTACTCTTGGGGGTTCAGAGTGACCTCTGCCCTTTATTTCTTGGGGTCTTGAGCGTAACCAGTGTGCCTGGCGTATCCAGCCCAAGGGACCTCCCTTACCTTCTGAGGGGCCTGGGGCAGGGCCTGGCGTGGACTCTGATGTACACCTGTTGTAATACTAAGAAGAGCTGGTTCTGTTGTCTTCCCAAGCTCTTCGAGAAAAATCAGGGTTTCAGAGGGTCCAGTTTGATGTTATGTCCTGGGATGAACCGTGGGTCTGACAAGCAGACGCCCAAGGCAGAGCCGCCAGGGACGCCTTGGTGCCACTGCCAGCAGCCTGTCTGCCTCCCTGGGGGCTGGGGGCCGGGCCCCTGAGCTGGAGGCATGTCTGCTTCTGCTCCATGGTCGCTCCCATAACTGGCCGTAGGGGCCGTCTTGGGTCTGAGGCAGCCTCTCGCCTACATCGTCACCTCGCAGGCGCTTCCGGAGCAATCAGGCTTCTCCTCGTGCTTCCTGGCCCAGGCTGGGGCAGAAATCTGAAGTGCTCTGAGAGCCCTAGAGAGACAGACCTGAGTTCCTTGGGGGCGTGGTCCCTCCTCCGTGTCCTCAGTGACCCTTCGCGTGTTCTCGGTGAGGGACTCAACTCCCCTCCTTCCAGGGGGCCCCGGCTCCGGACTCCGGGCTCCCTGTCCCGTGGTCGTCACTGTCAGTCACTTCCCCACCCGTGTGCATGACCACTGTCACCTGGCCCCTTGGGTCCCTTCTCCTCCCCAGTGACCGTCTTCCCTGCTCCACTGGACACACACATCTGAAGTCCGCAGGGCAGACACTCCCTACCATTGGCTCAGGAAGCCTCTTGAACAGCCCCTGCAGCTCTCGGGCTCTGGCCGGCGCCCCTGCACCTCTGTCTTTCTGCTCGTCTTCCCGGGCCTGTGATCACCTGTCACAGCACCGCGGACTTGCCCTCCCGGGGCCAGCAGTGTGAGGCTTCTCCTCCCTGCAGGGACCGGGGACCCGGTCATGCTCTTCTCAAACTGCGCCCCTCCTGCCCCAGTAGCTGCTGAGGGGACCTCACCCTTCCACTCACCCTCCAGCGTGTGATGTGTCCGGCCCAGGGGCTCCCAGCCCCTTTCAGACCCCCATCTGCAGCTCTGCCTTCTGTCACAGGCCCCCTCTCAGGTCAGACTGATTTCTTGCTAAGTTAAATCTTTAAAAAACGTTATAATGTCACAGAACACACAATAAGAGTACAGAATATTTCAACAAGCAGCCACGTACCCTCATCAGCTGTAGAAACAGGGCTTTTCCGACGTGCTCCCTGTCCGCAGCACTTGGAGTGTTCACTGTTCCCTTGACCCCTCCCTGGCTCCTCAGGGAGGAGGGGGAGGGCCTGTCTTACCCACTTTGCAGACGGGGCCTCAGAGGCCTGCAAGGTCCCTTCCACCTTGCTGACATCACAGAGGTCAACCTCGAGGCCCTGGCATCAGTCGATTAGACCCCCGGCCTGGGGTTTTCCCATCCCCGAGCTGGGCGTCAGAGTCCCAGTGTTCACCCTGGGCTCTCGGCAGCATTGCTGGGAGAGTGAGGCTCTGCCCGCCCACCCCCCACGTGCATCTGCACCTTGCTGTGCTGCCTGTGCGTTTGTGGATTCCCTGCAAGGACGCTCCATTCACTTTCACGTCTGGACCGTGGTCCTGTGTGAGAGGACCGCAACTGGCACACCCAGTCTCCAGGCGGGGGACACAGGCTGCGCCACTTCCTCCCCGCCCCGCCTTCCACTGCAGACGCTCGGTTCCTCTCTCGGGTGCGCGTGCCCTTCTCTGGTTGCACGGCTGCTGGCTGGGTGGTCCGCAGCCTTACTGGAAATTGCCGTGTCGTTTTCAAAGCAGGTGAGCCAACCAGCTTTCCCTGGTGATCCGTAAGTTCCTAGCCCTGATGGTGTTGCCAGACGTCTTAATGTTGTGATCTGATGGCTGTGGTTTTAAACAACACTTTCTCAATTACTACTGTGGTTGAGTTTCTTGTCCTGCAATTTGCCTGTTCGTATCTTTCTGCCCATTTTTTTCTTTTGTCTCTTCTTTGGTTTTTGTCTGCTCTTTATGTGTTCTGCATGTGGATCCTTACCGACCATGTGAGCTGCAGACATCTCCAGGTGGGGGGGCTGTTCGTCACCCTTCTGATGGTCTCTTGATGCCTGGATTTTTCCTTTTGGTGTCTTCCATGGGCTAAGAACTTCTTAAAGGCGAGCATGGAGATAACACTCCTCTTCATTCTTTTCCAAAACTTTGTTTTTTACATTTGGGTCTTCAGTCTTTGTGGAGTTTGTTTGGTAGAAAAATCTAATTTTGTGTTTTTCCATATGGCTGGCCAGTTGTCTCAGTCTGTCCAGGCCAGTGTAACAACACTACAGACCGAGTGGCTTATAAACAACAGAAACTTATTTCTCTCAGTTCCGAGGCTGGAAGTCCAAGATCAGGGTACCAGCATGGTTGGGGTGCCAGCATGGCGGGGTCCTGGTGAGAGCCCCCTTGTGGCTTGTTGACAGCCAAATCCTCACTGAGTCCTCGGATGGCTGAGAGCAGAGAGGAGGCACATTCTCTTGGGACTTTTACAAGGGCACGAGTCCCATTGCTGAGGCTCCATTCCTGTGACAGAGGAACGTCTCAAATGCCCCACCTCCTAACACCATCACACTTGGTGGGGTGGGGTTTCAACATGGGAATTTCGGGGGATCAGAGACATTCAGCGCATGACGCCAGTTTTCTTGGCATTGCTGGCCAGCAGCCCTTGCTCCTGGTCGGCTTGTGAAGTCTTCTTTGTCCAGTGTCAGAAGGGCGGTTTCTGGGTCCCTTCTGTCACAGTGGCGCTACGTACCTGTCCCAAGCACCTCGTGCTCGTTGCTGCAGTTTTATACCGAGGTTTGGTATCTGCGGGCCTTGCTGCCTTCTCCCTCTTTGTTTCCTTAAGCTGGTTCTTGGCAGTTGTGGTGTCTTACTCGTCCATGTAAAACTTTAGAAGCAGTTTGTCCAGTTTCATTAAAAAACTGGTTTGTGATTGCATTTGAAATTACATTGAATGTTTTGATTCACTTGGGTGAAAATAAACATTTTTAAGACACTGAAATTTCTTTTTTCATGAGCAGATTATAATTCTTCATTTATTTAGATTTTTCTATAATATTTTTGTAAAGTGTAAAATTTTTCTTCATGAAAGTTGTATGCATCCTTTGTGACATTTCTTCCTATAAAAGTACTTTATACTTTGACAGTCTCTTCAGCAAATGGTGTTGGGAAAACTGGACAGCAGCATGTAAATCAGTGAAGCTAGAACACTCCCTTACACCATACGCAAAAATAAACTCAAAATGGATCAAAGACTTAAACATAAGACAAGATACAGTAAACCTCCTAGAAGAAAATGTAGGCAAAACATTATCTGACCTACATCTCAAAAAGGTTCTCCTAGGGAAGTCTACCCAAGCAATAGAAATAAAAGCAAGAATAAACAAATGGGACCTAATGAGAGTTGCACAGCAGAGGAAACCATAAGCAAAACAAAACAACAACCTACAGAAAGGGAGAAAATTTTTGCAAATGAAACCGACAAAGCCTTGATCTGCAGAATATATAAGCAGCTCATACGACTTAATAAGAGACAACCAAACAACCCAATCCAAAGATGGGCAAAAGACCTAAACAAGCAATTCTCCAAGGAAGACATACAAATGATCAATGGGCACATGAAAAAATGCTCAGTATCACTAATTATCAGAGAAATGCAAATCAAAACTGCAATGAGGTATCACCTCACATCAGTCAGAATGGCCATCATTCAAAAATCCACGAATGACAAATGCTGGAGAGGCTGTGGAGAAAAGGGAACCCTCCTACACTGCCGGTGAGAATGCAGTTTGGTGCAGCCACTGTGGAAAACAGTATGGAGATTCCTCAAAAGACTAGGAATAGACTTAACCATATGACCCAGGAATCCCACTCCTGGGCATATATCCAGAAGGAACCCTACTTCAGGAAGACACCTGCATCCCAATGTTCATAGCAGCACTATTTATAATAGCCAAGACATGGAAACAGCCTAAATGTCCAGTGACAGATGACTGGATAAAGAAGAAGTGGTATATTTACACAATGGAATACTATTCAGCCATAAAAACGACAACATAATGCCATTTGCAGCAACATGGATGTCCCTGGGGAATGTCATTCTAAGTGAAGTAAGCCAGAAAGAGAAAGAAAAATACCATATGAGATCTCTCATATGTGGAATCTTAAAAAAAAAAAAAGAACATAAATACAAGACAGAAACAGACTCATAGACACAGAATACAAACTTGTGGTTGCCAAGGGGGCGGGGGGTGGGAAGGGATAGACTGGGAGTTCAAAATTTGTAGATACTGACAGGCATATGTAGAATAGATAAACATACAGCACAGGGAAATATATACAAGGTCTTGTGGTAGCTCACAGTGAAAAGAAATGTGACAATGAATATAATAAGTATGTTCACGTCTAACTGAAAAACTGTGCTCTACACTGGAATTTGACACAACATTGTAAAATGACTATAACTCAATAAAAAATGTTTTAAAGGAAGTACTTTATACTTTTGGATATTTTAAAAATAGCACCTTAAAAATGCTTTTAAACTCTTGGTCTCTAGCACACAGAGTGATTGGTTTCTAGCAACTTGGCTGAACCTTCCCACTAATTCAAGTAATTTGTCTGCGGAGCCTCTTGCTTTCTGTGTAGAAAGCAGACAGTCTCCAAATAACGACAGTTTGGTTTATTCTTTTCCAACCCACATTGTGTCACTGTTTTTCCTTTTTCCTGCCTTATCACTCTGGCAAGGTCTGCTGCAGTATCAAGGAAAAGTGGTAGCAGGCATCTGGAGCCCACTCCTGAATTTAAAGAAAATGCTCCTAAAACTTCACCATTAAGTATGATGTTTGGGTGGGTTTTTAAGCAGGTCTCTATTATGAGATTAAGGAGGTTTTCTTTTATCCTCATATTGCCAAGAGTTTTATCATAAACAGGCTTTAAAAATTCTTGACTGCACCTTCAGTTTCCGTGGAGGACCTCGTCTGACCTCCTCCTCCTCTGACGTGATGTGTGGGGAGTTGCACTGATAGACAGCCTAATGTGAAGCCATACATCGATCGTCACGTTGGTATTTCTGGAGTAAGTCTACTGTATTCTCCTTTTTATTGTTCTTTTTTTCTGCTGGACCTTCTTGCTAATGTTTTGGACTTTTGCATCTATGTTCATCAGTGAAATCGGTTTATAATCTTCATTTCTTCAC